CTAACTTGGAATTAGGTTGACTAATTCCAAGCACATCTCATATGTGTGTGGGAAAGGAAAAAAAAAAATCTTTTATTTCTTGTGTTGCAGGATGCTCTCTGGACATTTTAAGTACATACATCACAGTCCTGGTAAAATGTTAAACTTTATAATTCAGTGGTATTGGTGGTCTGTATTCATTTGGTTGTTTGTGTAGTTTCAGATTTTGAAGTGTTTTTCTATAACCAAAACAGGGACTGCAGCAGCACAACAGAATTAGATTAACTTTTGAAGAGAAAAGAGGTTCAATAGACCCAAATCTCTTTAGATTTGCTTTCTTTTTTTTTTTTTTTTTTAATGGTTGGGGTCTCACACTGTAAGAAATAAATCTCTGTAGGTAGTAAATTCTTTCCTCTCATGTCAAAATGCTCAATTCTGAAATCAGTAATGATGCATGTGATTCAATGAATCAGTGAGACTGTGTGCAGGAATTAACACTTCCAGTATGGTTAATCCTGAAAATTCCTGCTTAGTTCTAGATTAGGTAGTAAATGAAAAATGGTAGGAGAACAGGCAGTTGAAGAACACACAGTATCATCCTGAGGAGGGAAGAAAAGTGAGTGTTTTAAAATGGTTGGTGTTTTTTATGGCCTTCCTAGATACATATACATTTGAATTAGAATTTTAACAAATACAAAGAGATTATAATAAGAGGAGTTGAAAACCCTTACTCCACATTTAATCCTTCTCTAGAAGTCTTTCAGCATTACTGTTGTGGGGTCATGGAGTATTTGTTACTCATCTTTGAGATATGGTGAACAGATTTTGCACTGGAACCTGACATTAGTGGGACTACTCACAGTACATAATTCAGTGTTGTGCATGTCTTGGCAGGACTGGGTTTTAGGTTTGCAAAACATTTAGATGTCATAGAAGGGCTCTTGAAAATTTCTACTGCTTTCCTTTGGGTTTCAAGTAGCATCTATTATTGTGTCTTGTAAGTTATGTTTTCTGACACCATACTTCTATAATAATGTTTGAGATGCTGTATTTGAGAGGATATAACTTTGTGTCATCTGCTGTGTTCAGCCAAAAAAAAACCCCATTTTGAGATTTTAGAAGTAGACTTATAAAGCTATGGATGGCTGTTAGTAAGGACATACTCAGCTCCCAGGTTCTCTAAGGGTAATAGAGTAGGTTTTTTTTATTTGTGTGAGTTTTAAGTATGTGTTTTAGTTTTCTTAGAAGTTACAGTACTGAACTGATTTTTTTGTGTGAATATAAATTAAGTATCCATTAGTGATGAAAATACTGTGCTAGTTAGCTTTATCTCATTGCTTAGGATTGATAAAGTACAGAATATAGGCCTGAGGAACTAAGTTGAATGTACCTTTTGTTCTTTTTGTTTTTCAGAGGTCCAGAAGACACAATAAATGATTGTAAAATCCTTTTTGTAGAGGAAATGTACAAGATTGAAAAGCCAGGAGCCTATCCATTGACATTCGGGGATGGAGAGTTCAAAAGTACACTTTTTAAATTATTTGAATAGAATTACAAATTGAATTATGTTTTCTTTTAAAAATAGATCACCATGCAGAGGTAATAATAATAGTTTTGCGTGTTCAGGAAAGTAATAACATAGAATCCTTGTTAGATTTCTGTTCTAAAAGTGTATTTACTGTAAGGTGGCTCTATTACTTGTCATACTCAGAAACTGGTAACATCTTACTGCCATTAGTCATAAGCAGAGAAAAAGGGGAACAGCCGGTAACATTCTGAATGCACTTTAACCCTGCCATTATGTCAGAAATAAAAAAAAAAGATAAGGAACTTTGTGCCAGAGCTGCTTGTACCACCAAAAAGAAAAAAAAAAAGGATAATTAACATTTGGATTGTTACTTGGCTGTGCATGGCCTTTGAAAATATAACCATGCCATGACTCCTCATCCTCCCCACAACCACAGGAAAGAGTTAGTGGCAGATTATCTGAAAAATAGTGTAATATTTTATCCTAAACTTAAAAATATATTGAAGTTATGAGTGATAAGTGTTCGTGATAGCAACACTGAGATGTTGGACTGTAGCTCTACTAATAGTCATTAGGTGTTATTATATACTAGACTCCTGACTCCATGGCAACTTTTCAGAACCTTTGTATGTAGCACAAGAACTAGTCTGCTTACTGTTTACTTGCTGTCATCTAAAAAATCACTGTTTTTCAGAGGAGCAAGTACCATTTCTTGTGATGTTCTTAAAAGTAAAAATGTGAACTTCTGTAAATGAACTTCTCACAATTCATTTTTCAGTATTTGTGGTTTACTTTCCTCATATTATTCAGAAAAAAGTAACCAACCATTCTGGTTATTTTGTATTGGACACATTAAAGGGTATTTGCAATATCTTAAAACATCTTTCTATTTTAAAAAACTGTAGTATGAAAAATCTAAAAATCTACAGATACTGCTTTGCATTTACATGCCTACATATTTTGCAAGTCTGATTGTTTAAGAAACTTTTTAAACGTCATAAAAATTATTATAGTTCATTTAGTTCTTCCCTGCAGGTACTCTGTAGTCAATTAATTTCAAAATTTATGTGTGTGTTAAGGAAATGAATAATTACTGTATTGCTGATTATATAGAATTGTCTACAGTGACACTATTTGATCTGTCATGAGTATTTATCATGGAATCAAAATAATATGGGTTGGAAAAGACCCTTGAGATCATAAAGACTTACCATAAACCTAACTGGCAAGTACACCAGTAAACCATGTCCCTAAGCACCACATCTACACAGCATTTAAATGCTACCTGAGATGGTGACTCAGCAGCCTCTTCCAGTGTCTGATAACCCTTTCAGTGAAGAAATTTTTCCTAATATCCGATCTAAACCTCCCCTGGTGCAACTTGAGGCTGGTTTCTCTTGTCCTATCACTTGTTAGCTGTGAGAAGAGTCCAACCCCCACCTGTCTGCACCCTCCTTTCAGGTGGTTGTAGAGAGCAATAAGGTCTCCCCTGAATCTCCTCTAAGCTAAACAAGCCCAGTTCCCTCAGCTGCTCCTCAGAGGAATTGTGCTCCAGACCCTTCACCAGCTTCGTCTCTTTTCTTTGGACACACCCCAGCACCTCAATGCTTTTCTTGTAGTGAGAGGATCAAAACTGAACACAGTATTCCAGGTGCAGCCTCACCATTCTTTACTTCCTACACTGATTTCCACCTTTATTGTTTCAAAGTCAAATTCTTTATTTTCACTGAGAACTTGTTCTCTCTCTTATTTGTAACCTCTTTGCTTGAACTACTCACATATTGCCATCTGGGTAGAGATTTGCACCTCTCTGTATGTTTTGTTTCGTTCTGTTCTTGGTCCCATTTTTATTCATTTCAGGATATTGATTACAAACCTTCATAAATAGACATTACATAGAAATATAAAAATATAACCCTGAAAACTTAATTTGTCTGGAAATTTTGCCTTATGTCTTGTTTTGAACTGCTCTTTTTCCTGAGGCCAATTTTCTCACCACACTATCCTTTTAATTTCTGTTCATGTGATTCTCATTTTTTTGGTGAGCTGTCTTGCCTTTGTTCACTTACACACAGTGCACATCAGTTGAGCTGTATGCCCTAAGCAGTGTACCCTTTACATTTGGACTGTATTTACATCCTTGATTGTACTTTATATTTAAAAATTTGATATATGTATATATCTATAAACATACATACAGCTACCTTAGCTTAAATGCTATGAAAAGCCGCAGATTTTTGTTACAATAACAGCAGATGAAATTGGAAGAATTAATTAGCTTTAAATACTTCATGAGATTGTTTAAACACAATCAGAAAATGCAGTGACTGTATTTTTGTCTGTAATAGGCTACTGTCCATGTCCTTTCCGAAAGATAGAATACCTGCTTTGGAAATAATCTTCATCAGATAAACAGTGTAGGCTACCTGTGCAGAAAAAGTGTTATTCCGTGAGCATGGCCATATGTCATTTAGGTTTTATATGTGTAAATTAGATAAAATGTGTAGGACATGTCAATAGACCTTTAACAGTTACAGTTAAAAATAAGGTAGTTATTTTCAAATTATTTAATGGAAGGCTAACTTCTGCAGCCTGGTAAAGGAGTAGGGCTAAACCTAATAAAAATTGTAATAGAAAATCATAAAACTAAGAAGCAACATACTTGTAAATACATGTCAAATATTTGTATGCAAACTGGAAATAAGACCTAGAGACCAACATATATTACTTCCATCAGAATCCAGATTTGTCCTATGAACATGCAATAACTCTTCTTTCAAAAGAAGAGAATATGAAATAATATATGCAGCTAAACTGTACAGTGTTAGCAAGGCTGAATAGACCTGTCTTCATGTGACCAGTAATGCAGATATAATCGGTGCATTTGACTTACAACATGGTTAATGAAGAAACGTAAAAAAATAAAGTAGTGTCATGAAAATGACAGTTTGTAGTTTGTCTGCATAAAGGAAACTATAAAACTTAAAGGAAGTTGAAAACTCAGGTATTGTTTAACTGAACTAAAATATGTCGACCTTTTGGCTTTTTTCCTCTTTAAAATATATATTATTACTCACCTTTGACCTAAAAAACTGGTTTTGTAACAGAAAACAGTAAATCATATAGGCCTAAACAACCTGTTGTGGTAAGAGATACAGAGAAGTATGTAGTTTCTTTTTGCATGTTTTTTTTTTTTGAGGAGGTAGACTAGTGTTTCTTCAGGGGGTGCTCAGTCATCACTTTTAAAGTTTTTCAAAGGGGATACTCTTTACCTGGGATTTCTTCAGTCTGACTTGACTTGAATTGGTGTTGACACCTTGGACAGACTGTGAGTTTTGACTAGCTGTGCTGGAAAATGCTTCCTCATGTTTTCCAGTTAATACCTGTCACTAGACTTTCTACCTGTACAGTCATTCTTCTATGTTCTTCAGCTTTTATGTTTTTTCTCCTAAAAATTCAAGCACAGCTTGAATTTAGCACTTCTTACTATAAAATGGTTTGAGTTGGAAAGGACCTTTAAATATCATCTAGTGCAACTGTCATGCCGTGGACAGGGGCATCTTTCACTAAATCAGGTTGCTCAAAGCCCCATCCAACCTGACTTTGAACACTTCCAGGGATGGGGCATCCACAACTTCTCTGGGAAACCTGTTACAGTGCCTCCCCACCCTTATCATAAAAAAATTCTTCCTTGTATCCAATCTAAATTTACCCTCTTTCAATTTAAAACTGTTACTTCTTGTCCTATTTCTAAAGGCACTGGTAAAAAGTCTTTCCCTGTATATTTTATAAGCCCCCTTTAAGTACTGGAAGGCCACAGTAAGGTCTCCGTGGAGCCTTCTCTTCTCCTGGCTGAACAAACCCAGCACTCTCAGCCTGTCTTCATAGAAGTGTTCCAGCCCTCTGATCATTCTTATGGCTGTCCTCTGGATCTGCTCTAACAGGTCCATGCCTTTCTTCTACTGGGCACCCCACAGCTGGACGCAGCACTCCAGGTGGGGTCTCACAAGAGCAGAGTAGATGGGGAGAATCACCTCCCTCGACCTGCTGGTCACACTTCTCTGCATACAGCCCAGGGTACGGTTGACTTTCTGAGCTTCAAGTGCACACTGCTGGCTCATATCCAATTTTTAACCCATCAGTATCCCCAAGTCCTTATCTACAGTGCCATTCTCAATCCATTAATCCCCCGGCGTGTCCTGATACTGGGGATTGTCCTGTGCAGGACCTTGCACTTGGCCTTGTTGAACTTGACGAGGTTCACATGTGCCCACTTCTCAGGCCTGTCAAGGTCTCTCTGTATGACATTCTTTCCCACTGCTGTGTCAACTGCACCACTCAGCTTTATCATCCACAAACTTGTTGAGGGTACACTCAATCCCACTAGCTATGTCATCAGTGAAATTATTAATTAGTATTGGTCCCACTATGGACCCTTGAGTGAGGGACACTACTTGTTACTGGTTTCCACTTGGACATTGAGCCATCCAGTGGATCCAATGGATGCGGACCATCCACTTGTTGGATGTGTCTGTCCAACCAAGTCCTTATCCATCTAATAGTTCATCCATCAATTCTGTATCTCTCCAATTCAGCAGTAAAAATGTTGTGAGGAACCAAATCAAAGGCCTTACAGAAGTCCAGGGAAATGCCATCCATAATAGTTCCCTTCTTCACTGATGCATTCAGCCCATTGTAGAAGGCCACTAGATCAGTCAGGCATGATTTTCCTTTGATGAAGACATTTTGTCTGTCTTTAATCACCTTAATTAATAAAAAATTGCTGCATGTATCAGCCTCCTCCATATAGAGCTTCTGAAGGCTGCAACTTAGATAATGACTCATGGTGAAGAAAAATTAAAACTAAAGCTGAGAGAAGGTAGAAGCTTGTACTTGAATATTTTTTACTCATGCTAGTCGGAGAAACATGGGGTTGTTCTACATGTTTGGAGTTTCACAAATTCTAGTCTCCCTTAAGAAGGTAATAGAAAAGCAGCAGGCCTTTAGTGTGCGTGCTGGTTTTAGTGAATGAAAAATATTTTGTGTTCTCCTAAGGGTTAAAGATTTCACGGGAATAGGCAGTGTTTTCCTACATATTATGATTTGTTGCTTGATCTCTTCTCTTTTTGTCTATTATTCTGTTTGCCTAGCACCTGTAGAAGAATCTGATGTTCATGCTGCTTCTGAAGGGCTGTAGGGAGTTTTGGGTTTGGTGGGGTTGGGTTTTTTTTTTCATTTTTGTAGTGGATTTACTCTTCAGATTCCTTGTTCATGAACTTGCTTATGACATCATGGACATACTCAGTAAGATTTTTTGCAAAGAATGAAATTGTTAATTTTTGTACAACTAGTGACTTCTGGGTATTTTTGGCAAAAATTATGACAGGAGTATATGCGTCTGTCCTTATCACACTGCCTTCTAGGCCAGTTGCGCTTTTGAACAGACGTTGTGGAACAGTTCAGAAGTTCCTCAGATAAATTTTCTTTGAAGTCCACAGGCAAACTATCACAGCTGTTTCCATTTCTGAACTGCTATAGCCTGTAGTTATTTTTTCTTCCAGGATGGTACTCAAAAGAACATTTTCTGACCCATTCTAAACTTTAAGAAAAATAATATCTCTGTTATTTTAGGAGTCTGGATTCTTTGGTTCCTCCTTCCAACTTCAAACTCTCAAATAGTCTTTCTTGTCTTCTGTTTCAATGCCAATTACTTCTTTCAGATAAAATACTGTTTCCAGATAAGTTTGGAAGTACTCCAAATTATTGTATTAGACTAGCTCAAACTCAGATTTACTTTCATGACATTTCTAGATTACTTTTGCACCGAACATATAGATGAAATATTTTTTCTTTTAGTATTGGAATTATTTGGGCTGTGATCAAGTTATCTTCTGAAGTCTTCTGTCATTTTTCTGGACCTTCTACTTGTTTCAAACATTTCTTCTCTAAGTGTTAATTCTGCTACAAGTATTCAGTATTTCTTTCCTCTCCTCTTTCCTATCTAGTTTAGGCTACTTGTTTTTCTCTTGTATAATATCATATTTTCCTTGATGATGAACTAATACCAATAGTTTCGTTTCATAGTGGGGTTCATGGGTCCAAATTTCCAAGTGAGCTGAAACAGAGAGTTAGTGTTTCTTTATATGTAAACTTAACTGCTGCTATGAAACAGCTGGTGATGTGAGGTTGTCTGTGGTCTCAGACTACTAATTCTTCTAGCCAACTGGAAATTGAATTTAAGGGTAAGAGAGCTGTTTCAAATTGTAGATCTGTCTTCATTTGACTGTTACCAGTTACCTAACTGGAATTTAGTCGTGGCTGCATTTGAGAAGATTCCAACTAGAGATTATGCAAGGCTCCATCTGTAGGTAGAGTGGTGCAAGTGGCACGTTGGGAACAGGAGGGGAGAAAATAAGAGAAGCTTCTGATTAGTCATTTTCTTTACTGCTTGTTTGTACAACAGAAGAAATTCCACTAGTCTAGTTAGTCAAATACCTTATTGTAAGAAAGAAGGATTTTTAATATGGCAGTGTTCATATGGAGAAGTACTTTTTTCCTGTACATACAGTAATGCACTTTTCTAAAATAAATGGTGTTTGACTTCTTCTTTGTTTTTGACAGGGAAGAGTGGCCCTGAATGCAAGCACTGTAGGGCTGATCCAGATAAGGAGTGTCGTTTTTGTTCGTGTTATTTGTGTGGTGGAAAACAGGATGCTCATATGCAACTCCTGTGTGATGAATGTAATATGGCTTATCATATATACTGCCTGAACCCTCCCTTAAGCAAGATACCAGAAGATGAGGACTGGTAAATATACAAGGATGATTTACTTATCTGTATTGCCATTCTGTACACGGTACCTTTTTATTATTTGCACCTTGTGAAAGACAATACTGAAGATTTTGTTTTAATTCTGTTGTGTTTCTCATCAATCTACTTAATATAATCCTTATGTTTTCTGTCAAGGTAATTCTTTTAAATCATTCACCAAGGATTAGTAGTAAGCTTTAATGGCCGTTATGTGGTTTCAAAACTGGTATGTTCATTTTATTCATTATGATCATTATGATCTTCTGTGACATTATCTGATGATTGTCTTTATCAGCAGTGGTTGTTCCCCAGCATTTTAATTTTCTTCAATCTTCACTGCTTGAACAATTTTCTCATGCTTACTCTTCCCTTTCCCTTCATCCTCTGTCCCCGTTGCTGCCCCTCTGCCTTTCCTGTGTCCTTTCATTGCCACTGCTGTATTCTTTTCTTCTGCTGTGGGAAAACCACTACCATGCTACTCTTTATTTCTACCCTCCATGGTTCTGCTGTCAGGAAAACTGAGCTAACTGGCATTGTTAAATCAAGATAATTGTTTTTTGAAGTGAATCTGCATGGACCCATTAACAGCCCCTTAAGTTATCTTGAGCTCTATACCATTTTTTGTCTTTATTAGCAATCTACAGTTTACACTGCTCATATTTATCACCTTCCTGTGAGTTAGATGAGATGCTAATCCTTTATAAATGAGCAATAAATAGAAATTTATTCTAATAAAGTTTTCCATTACATAGACATCAATAAATATCTAAGATGTCTATGGATATATGTTATGGAATCTCTTTGGATCTTGTGATTAAATTTTATATAAAAATCTGTGCAAGTGCTTTGGAAGTTTTAACACTCTCTGGAAAGAAATAACTCAATCTACTATACCACTTTGGATACTGTTGGTATTGGTCAGTGCCTAATGGTCTGTGTGTTTTCTGGGGCATTGCATTTTTTCTGAATTCCTGTTTTTCTGCCAGTGTGTGATTTAGCCATTGAGATAATTAACACTGATAGATGTTTCTCTCATTTGGCCACAGAGATACTGTTATTGGAAGCTGATCTTTTTCCCATGAAAATTCTGTGCGGGGAGGAGTTGTATTCACTGTTTTTGGAGTAATTGCTGGCCTGAAACACTACCTAAAAAATATTTTCAGTGCCTACAAGAAATATGTATGGGTCATTAGAACTAAAAATAGCATTGATTTGAGTATTATCTATGTAACTTTCACCTCTTGCATAGGCAGAATTATTGTAGTGTTTATTCAGCACTGTTTATTACACAGCCTGTTAGTCTGAACTATTCCCAACTTTTATACTGTCAAGGCAAGACTGGTCCTCAGTGTGTGACATCTTCTTGCTTCCTGCTACTTGTCAACACAAGTGAGTTGATGTCACGTGTGGAAACCATTCTCAGCACACATGTAATTTATTACTGACTGCAGTCCATAAGCAGTATTCTTAACCTGATTGTCACTGACCTTGGTATATGGCAGCTGAAAAGTTCTTTTTTTACTTCATTCAGAATGTTCAATGATGCTATGTGTCTGGAAGTACAGATCTGTTTGGTCTATCTGTTCTTCAGTTGCCCCTTACTCTCATAGTCAACTCTAATCTAGTACTCCAGCAACATTGAAGTCCATCTGTTCTCCAGTACTAGTCACAGGAAAGTTTCTGATAAAGAAAAAATACATATATACTTCAAGTCAGTGACTCCATGCCACAAAAGTCCCAAATCCTTTGTGCTATCCTGAAAACAATTTATTTTCTCTAGATTCTTCTACACCTTCAAATATGCAGAATGTTTGATAGGCACATCAGGATACTGAGATCTCACCAGTCATCAGTGTCTCTTTGGTTTAGCTAGTGTGGTAAGATTATCTTTGACCACTGGGTGCTTCAGATGATTTTTCAGATTAGTTGTTAGTTTTCTGGTCTTCATTGGCACCCATTCTTTTTCAAAAGCTTCTTCTGAGACATTCTTATGAGTTATCCTACTCCTGTTTCAGAGGGCTACAGGGAAAGTTTAAGGAATAGAATTTTTTTCAAAGTGTAGCCATTACTGCTTGGATCACCCAACCCTCTTCCAGTACTATCACTATAACTGCACTGCGTAGGTCCCTGGGACTGTTTTCGTCCATACAGAAGATTCGGTGCTCTGTAAAAACCCAAACTATTAAATTGACTGACAATAGGGGTCTTTAGAGTCCCTCAGGTCCCTCAAGGTCATGTTAAGTACATTTTTAGACCCTTACATTTACATTTCTGGCCAAAAAATTATGAATTTTAACAAGTAGCAGAAATACAATTGGTATAATTAAAATCTCTTGAAAAATGGCTGTCAAGCTCTTTAACTTGGTTCTGTTTGCTGTATTGACAATATGAGTTAAGTTTTATTCATGTAAGTAGATAGCTGCATCTGTGAATGAAGTCACTGGGTGAGAGAGGTACTGTTATGGAGCTAGCTTGTGACAGTTAGTTTTGGGATATTTAGTGAAGCTAGCCCTGTGAAATCTTAAAAGCTTGGTCACGCTTTGAAGGAGTACAGTTGCACTGGGCAAAGCAGTGTCTCCTACTAAAGAAGATGTCTGTGTTCTCCATTCTTGCCTGAGTCGTGGGTGTCTACCCCATAACTTCCTAACAGATTTTGTTTTAGAAATAGAAAAATATCCATTTAGGATTTTTATAGTGTAAAATTTGGCAAACTGTCTGCAGGGGCTAAGCCTGCAGTTTGGGACAGGATGATAAGTTTCTCTATATATGTGAAACAGCATTTGATATTCCATACAAAACTCAGTTTAAAAAAATATTAAGGTAATGTAGTTATCCTATCAAGAAACATGGAAATGCCATAGTTAATTCACTTTGTGAATTTGCATTTTGTCACGTTCCTTCTTTTGATTGGTTGTTGTATTTTTTTAAACAACTGTAATACCATTCACAGTCTTAGTGCTAGACAGTTTCAGCTTCTTTTATTATTTTTATTTTATTTTTAAATCTACATAGCTTTGTTGTCTTAATGGTTCAGCACTTTTATTGACATCATGAAATCTGTTCCCATGGACATTAATCATTAATTCAAAATTAATGAATGCAAACCAGTAGTACTAGTGGTAGTTATCTAAACTAGATTATCAATCTTAGTGCAGATCAGGCTTCCTCGCACATGGCATATAAGACAGAAACATGGACAATTAATTGCCTTT